GTAGCTGTGCCTGGGATTGCCCCGACCAAGGCAGGACCTTGCCTTGGCCTTGTTGAGCTCCATGAGCTTGGCACTGGGCACCTCTCAGAGTGTCCAGGTCCCTCTGGATCCCATCCCTTCCCTCCAGCGTGTCCCCTACACCGCAGAGCTCAGTGTCAGCACACACTTGCTGAGGGAGCATCAAGCCCAGTGTTCGTGTCACCAACCAAGGTGTTGAGCAGGATCACTGCCAGCACTGACCCCTGAGGGACACCACTCATCACTGGTCTCCAGCTGGACACTGAGCTCTCTGCGTGCAGCATCCAGCCCTTTCTTTTACACATCCTCTTTCCCAGGGATTTATCCCACCCCTCCCCAGCCCCAGCCCATCACTGGTGCCTCAGGGCCAGGGTCACAACCTGCACTTACAGTTTTGTAGAAGGCTTTGGACTGTGCCCCCAGCACCTCTGATTTGGAGACCAGGTCATCCAGCTTCTCTCCTCGCTCCAGCAGTGACTCCATGGTGTTGTGCTGCCAAAGAAACCAGTGTTAACCTGCAGCACCAGCACCCTGGGCCTGACCCGCACCGAGCGGACACGGGTGCTGCTGCATCCCAGGATGAGCCACAGAAGGAAGGAGCAATCCCAGCCCCAATAAAGATGGGAAGGGAGAAGGGTCAGTGCCCCGGTGCTTGCACTGGGACAGCTGGGAAAGGAAGGGAAAGGAGGAAAGGGGACAGGAAGCACCCACAGGAGTAGCTCTGGAGAAGGGAGAAGGTGGGACGGGACCGTGGCCTGGGGGCTCTCCTCACCAGGATGATCTTGGTCTCATCCAGCTCCGCCTGCACTTTGGTCATCGGGTCGGCATCACGGGGGTTCTGGGAGAGAAACAACAGGGACATCAGCACCCCCTGTGGTGGCTCCACCTCCCTGTCCCACGCGGGCTGTACCTGGTACTTGCTGAGGTACCCATCCAGGGCCGCGTAGCTGATAGTCGCCGGGGATCCCGAGGCCCAGTCTGCTCTGCTGACCTGCCTGGAGAACTCGTCCAGCACCTGCGGCACAAGGACACGGGGTCACCACCAGACCTCAGATATAAGGAAGAAGTTCTTCCCTGTGAGGGTGCTGAGGCCCTGGGCAGGCTGCCCAGATGTGCTGAATGCTCCATCCCTGGCAGTGCTGGACAGAGCCTTGAGTGACCTGGTCTAGGATAAGGCACCCCTGCCTGTGGCACGGGGATGGAAGTGGATGATCTTAAGGTCCTTTCCAACCCAAACCAATCTGTGATCTAGGATTTTTCTCCTCCTTGTTCCCTTTTGAACAAGACAGAACTCGAGTTCCCCAGCAAACAGAGCAGTGCCCAGGGACGGGTGGCTGCCCCCCCTGCACCCTGCCACACACCAACCACCGCGCTTTGGTCCCATGTAAACCCCAAAGCAGACAGGGAAGACGGGGTGTTCATGAGGGGCTGAGTCCTGGTGGTCAAAGCCATGTTGTGCTACAGCTCGGGAGGCTTCGGGCTCGACCCAGCTCTGCCACCCCCCCACTGATGAGTGGGTTGGTTGAGGAGGGAGCTCCCTGGCACAGCCCCATCAGCCCAACACTCACCTTGTCCAGCAGGGTGAAGCAAACCCGCTGGGGATACTCGTTATCTGCAATCACCACCCCAGCCAGCCCGTCGTTCCGGACGTACACGTGGCACAGGTACTCTGGGCACAGAACTCGCATCAGAGAAGGTCCAGAGGCACCCCCAGCACCCCCCCATTGCTCTGAGAGGTTTCACCAGTGACTGCATTTCATTAGAAGAGCAGAAAGGGCTCAAAGGAGGCTCCAAATCAGCCCCAAACGGTGCCTGGGGAGGTTACAGCAGCCTGGCCACAGAGGGCAGGACACGGCACCGACCGCCCAGCGCAGCAGGTCCTGCCAGGGCTGAACAAAGAGCAGAGGGGAAGCACTCAGCCTGGTTTTAACCAACAATGACATGTCACCACCTGGAGTGTCATTACAGGACTTCAGGCCGCACCCTGCGCGTCCCAGAGGTTGGGGTACGGAGCCAGGACTCGCACGGCAGAGCTCAAGGGCAGGAGGAGGCTGTGCAGGGCTGAGGGATGGCTCCAGGGCTGGCGGTGGGGCAGGTCCCTGCTCCTCTCAAGAGCTCAACAACCTCAGCCCTTCAGTGCCACTCACCCGGGCGCCCTCTGAGGCCTCATTTCTCACCATAAGCAGAGGAGGAAGGAAGCACGTGCGGCCGCGGGGCCCCGTGTTACTCTCACCTTGCTCCTTGACAGAGGCTCTGCTGCCCAGCTCCGAGCGCTCCACGATCAGCTGGCTCGGGAAGGTCATGAATTCCTGCACGCTGGAAGCACAAAGCAGGACAGGGGCTGTCCCACGTGGCCCCATCCCCACCACAACCCGTCTGGGGATGCGGCTGAGCCGCAGGTGTTCCATGGGCAAGAGGCCAGAGCCTGTGTCCATTGAGAGCTGCAGCCACCACCCAAAGACCTCGGCTGCCGCCTGCAGCTCCCGTGGCCGGTGCGGGGGCTGAACCTGGGTTTGGGGATTTAGCAGATACTAACCCACCTCTGAGCCACAGATGTGCCCGAAAGCAGGGGAGAGGCTGCGCCCTGCTCGCAGTGAGGGGCTGCAGGAGCACTCCAATCCCTTCTCCTGCCTGAGTCTCACCCACAAACACACCTCAGCTCCCCACGCTTTGAGCCAAAGCCAAGTTTGCTCCAACACCCCCTGCTCCGGAGCCTCCTGTGATGCCAAGGAAACATCAACAGCCACAGACCCCACCGTTCCCTCACTGTAACCCCCCCACGGGGATCTGCCTCTCCCAGATTACATGTTCCTTAGTGGGGGAATGCATTAATCCCAGGCTGGATGCTATGGAATAAGACACTGGTTCCACCGGGACACTGAACTGTCGCTTTCCCAGCACTGCAGAGAGAAAAACAGCCCAAAGATTACACAGACCTGCTCCTGCCAAAGCTGGAGGAACAACCCATCTCCCAGACCAGGGGAACCTGCTGCAGCCACAGCCCCTGCTGCCACAATTCCAGTATTGCACAGTATTCCTGGAGGAATCGGCCCCTGGAAACTTCATTCCCTTGCAGATCATTCACAAGCATTGCACCAGACACAGGCTGGGGGAGACTGGATGAAGCAGCCCTGAGGAGAAGGACTTGGGGGTGTTGGGTGAGGAGAAGCTCCCCATGAGCCGGCTTCAGTGTGTGCTTGAGCCCAGAACCCCCACCGTGCGCTGGGTGCCCCCCCCGAGCGTGAGCACAAGCCCAAGGATGGG